TCTCATCATTGATGTTCCTATCTTTCTCCCTCTCCCTTCCTCTCTGAAATAAAAATATTTCTAAAAAACATATCTATATAATAAAAGCCTAAGCGACCATTAAGGTAGAACGACCAGTCGCTATGATGTGCACTGACCACCACAGGGGGGGAGATGCTCAATGCAGGAGCTGCCCCCTGGTGGTCAGTGCCCTCCCACAGGGGAAGCACTGCTCAGTCAAAAGCCGGGCTCACAGCTGGCAAGCACACAGCAGAGATAGAGGTAGCCTCTCCCGCCTCCAAGACAGTACTAAGGAGCAGAGAGCCAGGCAGTAGGGAGCATCGGGCCTAAGCCAGCAGTCGGACATCCCCCCAGGGGTCTCTGACTGCAAGGAGAAAGAAAATTAATACCTGGTGCATTAGAGGGAAACTAAAAAAAAAAAAAAAAAAAAAAAAAAAAGCAGAGAATATCTTAAATGTAGTCAGAAGAAAACCAGCAGGCGGGAACACCGATCTTTAACAATTTGACTTGCATCGTTTTTGTTCTTTCCAAAAAATGGGACTTTTTTAAAACGATGTGGGACAAATTGTTAAAAACCAGGACTGTCCCGCCAAAAACGGGACATCTTGTCAGCTTACCCAAGGGGTCCTGGACTGAGAGAGGGCACAGGCTGGGCTGAGGAACACCCCCTCCTCTTTCCCCTAGTGCATGAATTTCTTACACCAGGCTTCTAGTTTTCATAAAGGTGAAAGGAGTGCCTAAGAATGTCCACAGTGCCGAAACCGGTTTGGCTCAGTGGATAGAGCATCGGCCTGAGGACTGAAGGGTCCCAGGTTCGATTCCCGTCAGGGGCATGTACCTTGGTTGCAGGCACATCCCTGGTGGGGGGTGTGCAGGGGGCGGCTGATCAATGATTCTCTCTCTCATCGATGTTTCTAACTCTCTATCCTCTCTTCCTCTCTGTAAAAAAAAAAATCAATAAAATATATTTTTTTTTAAAAAGAAAAGAATGTCCACAATAGTCAAAACTACCCCATCACCTCAAATTGCAATGATTCATGATTTCATTATATTCCAGTGTTGAAGCTAACAGATTACAATACTATGCAAAAGTCTTATACACAAGAGCATCTGCTTTAAATATGAAGACTAAACGCTACTAGTAGGAGGTATTTTAAAGGTTGCATTATACAATTCTGCTTACATATAGGATATATAGAAAGGAGAGAAAAATATTGCATTCAATAAAGTTAACTCCATTAACTGAAATAGCAATAAAAATTACTATTGGCCTACAATCTAGAATTGATCATTTTTTTTAATTATAATGTTAAACATGAGTTGTTTTTTTAACCCTCACCCCAGAACATATTTTCATTGATTTAGATAAAGAGGAAGGGAGGAGAGAGACAGACATTGATTAGTCAGCCACCTGTGGTAAGCGCCCCAACTGGGGACTGAGCTCGGGATCCTTTGATGCATGGAAGCTTCAACCAATTGAGTCACACCAGCCAGGACTAACCTGTTTTTAACTCATTACTAAAATTAATTTACTATTACCTTTTTTTTTTTTCCTCTAACAAGGCATATATTAAGGAATTAATGCAAAACTCCTCACTGACTACCAGAATAAGTTAGAGATGAGGTACTGGTATTTTAAAAGGACAGCTCTCTAAGTAGTAATACAGAACAGATGTATTTCTGGGGTTGATGTATTCAAATAAAATGAATTGAAAGTGACCATCAAAACTTTACCGTCAGATGGAGCCAATCATTACAGGGAGAAGGAAGGTGGAAAAACGAAGCCAGAAACTACCCCATGAACTTAAGTGTAGTGTATGCTGGCAACCCTCTAACTCTCAGGAAATGTGAAAGTACTCACTCCCCTGCCCCCACCGCTTTTCTATACTATTGCGGTTCATACAGATAGGACAGTCAAACAATGTTCAGGAAGGCTAAGTATTTTTTGTTTTGTTTTTAATATGTATTGATTTTGGGGAGGGGGTAAGGGGAGAGACATAGATGATGAGATCATTACCAGCTGCCTCCTACATGGGGATGGGGATGGGGATGGGATGGGGATGGGGATGGGGATGGGGATGGGGATGGGGATGGGGATGGGGATGGGGATGGGGATGGGGATGGAGCCTGCAACTGGAATTGAAGCATGTGCCCTGAGCGGAATGGAACTGTGACCCTCTGGTTCATAGGCCTGCACTCAACCACTAAGCCAAGCCTGCCGAGCAGGACTTCCTTAACATGGCCACGAATCACATTAAAACTATTCCTTAGACTGACGCTAAATTTAATCTTCAAGATGAGCAGTCCTAGTCCCAAATCTCAGTATTTCCTATCAGCATCCCAAAATCGTTCTTTTTCTGAACACATGTTAGCTCTCCCTCCAGTACCTTTAAATAAAACATATTAAATTGATTCCAATTACCCAGGATAGAATTAAGTGATGCTACAAAGAAGTTGTAATACCTATTAGATTCAACATAACATGCAAAATAAAAGGTACTGCAGGAATGAGAAAAAAACAGCATTTATATCCAAATACCTAAAAATCAATGGCACTTAATACCAACTATGTCTCACCCCTCAACAGCATTAAAACCAGATATATGACTGTTTTCATAATAATACACTCTCACCTTCTTCCACTCCCCATGCTGAATAAATTGGTGACTAAATGGCATTAATTTTTGTCACCACAAACAACACTAAATTATTGTGACAAATAGAGTAGACACAGGTAGAGGATTCCTGATAACTGCCTTCCTCTTCTTCCTTTCCAATGAATCCCTACCTTGTGCCCAACAGTCACCAGACTTTCCTCTCCACCTGGGAGACCTATTTCCTTCCCCCGTTAGATTCTGAAGGAGACACCAAAAGTGCCCATGCAATGATGTGGCTCTATCTGGAGAGTACTGCGGTATGTTGAATAACTAGTAGGAGGTTTGGTCAAAAATCCTCAGCACTCAACTCCAAAATATGATTAACACCAAACTGTCAACTCAGAATCCACAATCATGAGCTTCCAAATCAGTTCTTAAAACAAGTTTTTAAAAAAAACCTTCCTCTATGTCCTTTTGGTTATCACAAGCTTACTCAGAACCTACACTCCCTACAGAACAGAAAGCATTCAAATATAATTTCAAGTTTCCTGCCAAAGGCACTGGTGGATTAAAAGAGGAAACCTATCTGGAGCATGGGGGAGGGGGACACTTCCATTAAAAGCACACCTACAGTGTTTGACTTTTAAACACTGAAATTAAGGCATAGCTGACCTTGAACTGTACTTCCCATCTTATTCCCCCTCCCCCTCCTAACAGGAACCTTATTTAATACAAATAGCAATTTAAAGATTTACCAGATAAAATTGAGTGTAGTATCTTCCCTAAATTTCAATTCAAAGCCTTTTCTCCTCATTTTCAAATTCCTGAATCCTAAATGTATGATATCTAGCCCTGAGGCTATTCACATGACAAATAGGTATTCAAGGAAGGCACTGAACCTAACGTGACACTTTGAAAAATAAATGCTTCAGTAATTAAGAAAAACCTAAAAAACAATGGCACTTGATACCAACTATGTCTCGCCCCTCAACAGCGTTAAAACCAGATATATGACTGTTTTCATAATACTACACTTTTAACAGATGTGGGGGTAATTCAAATACCTACGTCCAAAATGGAGGGAGGGGCAATTTTTTAAAAAGCAGCAAGCAATCTGGAACTGGCTAAAAAGACACAATGGGCAATTCCATAAAGTTCTAGAAAATGACGAAAGGGCCTTTACGGGCAAAGGACCAAAGGAACAAAGGAAAACTGTTCAAATCGGTACATAAAACCGAGAAATCCGTACACAAGACACAGAAAAGAACGTAGGATCTGCTTAGGACTCCCTACGATCACAATCCCAAAACCCATACCCCCGGGCTGAAGGACGGGGGGGTAAATTAAAAACCCCAAATGAGGTACGAACCACGCATTCCAAGCCCGGGCAAGTCAACCAAAATGCAGTTTACTAAACGTCATTTGAAATAACTTTTTATTTTTCAACAGGTCTTTTTCTCCGTTTGTCACAATAGTGCAGCACACAGCAAAGTCACAATTCTTACTACACACGGGTGGCCTGAGAGCCAGGCACCGGCCGGGGCCGAAGACGCGTGGTCTCCTGGTTTCCCGTCCGCGGTTCTAACCCCCAGACCCCGCGGCGGAGGCGGAAAACAGGCACAGGAACTCGGGGCACTCCGGTCTGAGTCCGAGGAGAGGGAGCGTGAGGGAGGGCGGCGAAGCTGAGCGGACAAACCTAAAAAACCCTCTCCACAAGGTGCGCCGGCGGCCTGCGGGGGAAACTCGATCGCAGCATCTCGGCTGGCCTCCGCCCAAGGAGGAACGGCAGTGATTCCCCTCTCCCACCCGCCGCACCACCACCACCGCAGCCCCGAGACCTCCCCTCGCTCAGCTTCTCCTTTGTGAGGCGCTCAGCCGCCGCCCCACATTGGGCCTCCGGGGAAAAGCCACCGCCCCCGCCCGCCATGTTTCCCTGAAAGGCGCCCGCGCTACGGCTCCCGGCCGCCGCTCTCCCCCATGTGGCGGGTGTTTCTCCCCCCATCAGCCCACTCCATTGTTCTCCACATCCCAAGGGCTAAGCCAGAAAGTTCCCCGGAGGATCGCTCGCCCGGAGACAGCACCCGCCATCTCCTCCTTCCCCGCCCCGGGAATCGCCCTCCTCCCCCCCACCCCCAGCCGCCATTTTACAACCAACTCCTCCACCCCATCGCCTCGGCCTCTCGGTTGGCAAGTGCCTGCGGCCGAGGACACCGAGAGGGTCAAATTCCTAGGGCCGGGGCCTCCCACCGCTCCAGGAGACCACGGGCCACTTCCAGCTTCCAGAACCCACGTCCCCCGGCCGGGCTCGGAGACGATGCCGCCATTTTGTCTCCCGCTCCCGGCCTCTGTGGGCGGCGGCAGAGGGTCCGAGAATTCCAGCCCCCGGCTGACCCCCCAACTCACCGTCGTATCGCTCAGCCTGCTCGGCCAGCTTCGCCTGGTACACCAGATCCTCCCGATCATCCATAGCGGCAGCGGCTCCGGCAGGGTCTGCGCGACGGATGGAAGCGGATAGCGTCTCCGACTCGCTCAGCCTCTCGCTACGCGTCCGAGCAGCAAAAATGGCGGCGCCTCAATCCGGGACTTCCGCCTGCGCACGCGGACAACTGCTCAGCTCTATGGCAACCGCTCCCTGGCAACTGGCGCGGGGGGCGGTCCCGGAGCTCGGCGCCCGAAGAGGCTGGAACCGAGCAGACGCCCCTCCTCCGCGAGCTCAGCTGGCGCGGGAGCCCCGAGGCGGGAACTGCGACTGCGGGAAGGAAGAGCGGCCCGAGGAGACGGGAGGAAAGCTGGAGGCGAGGCCGGCCTGGGCTGCCCCTGAAGAGAGGGAGCGAGAGGAAGCAAAGGCTGTAACGGTTTGTTAATGGCCGGCCCTCCTCACGGAAATCAGCTTCGCCGCTACCTAGCCCGTTACCTCCGCCAAGCCCACTCCTGGGCCTTCTCCTGGCTTTTTTAACCCCAGAGTAAAGAGTTGGGCCTTGCCGAAACCGATTTGGCTCTGTGGATAGAGCCTAGGCCTGCGGACTGAAAGGTCCCGGGTTCAATTCTGGTCAAGGGCATGTACCTTGGTTGCGGGCACATCCCCAGCGCGGGGAGGAGGGAGGGGAGGTGTGCAATGATTCTCTCTCATTGATGTTTCTAACTCTTTCCCTATCTCTTCCTCTCTGTAAAGAAAAAAAAAAAAATCAATAAAATATATTAAAAAGATAATGATTTTTTTTTTTTTAAAGAGAGTTGGGCCCTGCAATAGTGGGAAGGGGAAGAGAAGCCCCAGTTTTCACACCTCAACTTCACTTGGCAGCCCTTTGCTTCTCTTGCGCATTAGAGAAGGGGTGAAGGTGTGGAAGACAGCCAGGCTGGCATTGACATTGAGGAAGCAAGGAGGGGAAAGGAGTTGGTCGCTCTTTGGCTGCCCGGTGCGTTCCCAGCACCTTGTCCTCAATATAAAATCAGCTCCAAGACCCAAGTTCAGGTAACTAGAACATGAGCTGTGTGGTGAGACCTGCAATAAAAGTGAAATAAGAAGGTTGGAACCAAATTATGAAGAGCCTTGGATAGCAAGCTAAGAAGTCTGCACTTTATTCAGTGGTCACAAGAAAGCTGTGGTTTTTGCAGAGAGGATAATATCGTTTATCTAACAGCCTATACTTTAAAAAGATTAATAAGTACGGCATAATAGTGATTGATTAGCAGGCTATCACACCAATGCAGGCGAGAGGTAATAGATGGTTGCATAAAAATAGGAAGGAAAGGACAAATAAGATTAGTACTACAGAGAAAAGCCTCAAGCTTCTGTATCTGATCGGATGTAGAGATCTTGTGATGGGGAAAAATTGACTTTCCATCTTCCCACCCTGAGTCGCTGGAATAATGAGTGGGAGTACCATTAACAAAAAAAAAAAAAAAAAGGAATGCTGGGGAAATTTGCTGATAGAATGCAGAGAAGACAATTCCTTTTAGCACACGTTGATTCTAAGATTCTCAAAGGTCACCAGGTAGAAGTAACCATCATGGAATTGGAAAAAAAGGGAAGCAGGAGAATACCTACTTTTAAGAGGTAAAAGCAAAAGACCCAGCAAAGGAAACTGGTGGCTCCTTACTCCATTGCAGGTTAAACCCCTTCCACTCTAAACAAACTTACCAAATTTCAATGGTAAAAGACAGAATTAAAATACAGAATTCTAAAACTATATAAATACACATTTACTTATTTATACCTTCATTTCACCTCTGAAGCTTCATGTTCATCGGTAGAAAAACTGGAGACCATTCGTTAAGCTATGAAACAAGCCTTAATACACGTAAAAAGACTGAAATCAGCCAAAACCGGTTTGGCTCAATGGATAGAGCGTCGGTCTGCGGACTGAAAAGTCCCGGGTTCGATTCCGGTCAAGGGCATGTACTTGGTTGTGGGCACATCCCAAGTGGCAGATGTGCAGGAGGCAGCTGATAGATGTTTCTAACTTTTTATCCCTCTTCCTTCCTCTCTAAAAAATCAATAAAATATATATATTTTTAAAAAGACTGAAATCATACAAAGTATCTTTTCCTATCACAATGGAATGAAACTTGAAATTAGCATTGGCCAGGTATCTCAGTTGATTAGAGCACAATATACCAAGGATGTGGGTTTGATCCCTAGTCAGGGCGTATACAATGAGCAACCAGTGAATGCATAAATAAGTACAACAAATCGCTGAACTCCTCCTCCCCTCTCTCTAAAATCAATAAGTAAAAATTGTCCTGGCTGATGTGGCTCAGTTGGTAAGAACTGTCTCAGGGTATGTATGGGAGGCAACTGATTGATTTCTCTCTCCCCCCTCCCTCCCTTCCTTCCACTCTCTCTAAAAATCATTGGAGGTCTGGCCTGCATGGCTCAGTAGTTGAGCACTGATGTCTGAGCCAAGAGTTCCCAGTTCAATTCCCAGTCAAGGCAGATGCTGGGGTTGTGGGCTCTATCCCCAATGTGTGGCTTGCTGGAGGCAGCTGTTTAATGATTCTCTCTCATCATTGACGTTTCTATCTCTCCCCTCTCCCTTCCTCTCTGTAAAAAAATCAAACCTGGGATCCTTAAGTCCGAAGGCCAATGCTCTATCCACTGAGCAAAACCGGTTTCAGGAAAAAAATATATATATATATTTTAATGAAATTCAGTGGGAGTCTACTTATAGGCTCAATTTCCTAAAAAAAAAAAAAAAAAGCCCACCGTAATGGTTTGGCTCAGTAGATAGAGCATCAGCCTGAAGACTGAATGGTCGTAGGTTTGATTCCGGACAAGGACATGTACCTTGGTCACGGGCATATCCCCAGAGGGGGGTGTGCAGGAGGCAGCTGATTGATGTTTCTAACTCTCTATTCCTCTCCCTCTCCCTTCCTCCCTGTAAAATATCAATAAAATTTTTAATTTTTTTAAAAAAAAGAGCCCACCGAGGCCGATTTGGCTCAGTGGACGGAGCATCGGCCTGTGGACTGGGAGGTCCCAGGTTTGATTCCGGTCAAGGACATGTACCTTGGTTGTGGGCACATCCCCAGTGGTGGATGTGCAGGAGGCAGCTGATCAACATTTCTCTCTCATTGATGTTTCTAACTATCTCTCTCTCTTCCTCTCTGTAAAAAATCAATAAAATATATAGATGTTTCTAAATCTCTCTTCCTTCTTCTCTGTACAAAACCAATTTAAAATATATATATATATATATATATTTTTTTTTTTTTTTTTTTTTTTTTTTTTTTTTTAATTTAAAACGGAGCCCTGCCGAAACCGGTTTGGCTTAGTGGATGGAGCGTCAGCCTGTGGACTGAGGGTCCCAGGTTCAATTCCGGTCAAGGGCACGTACCTTTGTTGCGGGCATGACCCCAGTAGGGGGTGTGCAGGAAGCAGCTGATTGATGTTTCTTTCTTTCTTTCTCTTTCTTTCTTTCTTTTAAAGAACTATTTTTTTAATTAATTTTGATTTTAGAAAGAGGGAGGGATATCCAAAACCTGGGCATGTGCCCTGACCGGTTATCAAACCCCCTACCTTTTTGGTGCATAGGATGATGCTCCAACCAGCTGAGTCACACAGGCACGGCTGATTGATGTTTCTAAATCTCTCTCTCTTCCTTCTTCTCTGTACAAAACCAATTTAAAATATATATGTGTGTGTGTGTGTGTGTGTGTGTGTTTGTGTGTGTGTGTGTGTGTGTGTGTGTGTGTGTGTATATATATATATATATATATATATTTAAAAAAAAAAAAAAAAAAGGGGAGAAAGCCCTAATTGGTTTGGCCTAGTGGATAGAGCGTCGACCTGCGGACTGAAAGGTCCCGGGTTCGATTCCAGTCAAGAGCATGTGCCTTGGTTGCGAGCACATCTCCAGTGGGGAGTGTGCAGGAGGCAGCTGATCGATGTTTCTAACTCTCTATTCCTCTCCCGCTCCCTTCCTCTCTGTAAAAAATCTATAAAATATATATTTTTTAAAAAAAAGAAGAGAGAATAACCTATATGGTTACTTTGGTTCAGATTAGTAAAATGTAACCACATGAATATTTATAGGATCTGTTGTTTTATATTTAATAAAATGAAGCCACAAAAGTTATAAGGATTATATTGACCTTTGTTCAAATCAGTGATAATATATTTGACACAGGTAAACACAGAAATTACACACTCCAGTACTTATTGTCCAGATAAAATGTTTGTCACAACTGCTTCAGGTACCTTCTATTAAGACAGTAGAGGCCCAGTGCACATTCAAAGGAAATCATTATTTTTTTAAAATATATTTTATTGATTTTTTTACAAAGAGGAAGGGAAAGGGCTAGAGAGTTAGAAACACCGATGAGAGAGAAAGATCGATCAGCTGCCTCCTGCATACTCCCCACTGGGTGTGTGCCTGCAACCAAGGTACATGCCCTTGACCTTTCAATCCGCAGGCCGTTGCTCTATCCATTGAGCCAAACCAGTCAGGGCCAAAAGAAATTATTTAGAAAAAATATTTGAAGCCAGGGAGGGACCATCAGAGGGCTCCAGGGTGTGTCCAGCCCGGCTCACTCAGTCCTGATTGGCCAGACCCCAGCAGCAAGCTAACCTACCGGACTGTCTGCCCAGTAGTGACTGGTTGAGCGATCAACCAATTGGTCAACACATCAGTTGAACACTTAGCATATTAAACTTTTATATATAGATTAAGCCTTTCCCAGTTTGGCTCAATTGATAGACTGTTGGTCTGCAGACTGAAGGATCCAAGGTTTGATTCCAGCCAAGGGCACATCTGGTTGCAGGTTCAACCCCCAGTGGGGGGTGTACAGGAGGCAGCCAATCAATGATTCTCTCTCATCATTGATGTTTCTCTATCTCCCTCGCCCTTCCTCTCTGAAATCAACAAAAAATATTTTTCAAAAAAAAGGCAGCCTTCGCCGGTTTGGCTCAGTAGATAGAGCGTCGGCCTGCAGACTGGAGAGTCTTGGGTTCAATTCCAGTCAAGG